GTGGGTGTTTTCAAAAGAGCTTTGTCTCACAGTACATTTGCCTGGCTGAAGGAGCCTGCTGCCCCTGAAAAGATGAGTGGGTGTGCATGTGTTTTTCAAAAATAGCCTGCAATTTCAGACTAGTAAGAGAGCCTGTGCCTTTGGCCCGCCCTTGTGATTCAGTAATACTGTGGGCCTTAAATAAGAGGAAGCAATGTCCTGAAATATTTTCTTCATGATAGATCTGGACTGTGTTTGCAGAGAGAAGTCCCTGGGGGCTCTTGATGGCCCTTCTGCAGAAAGGCCTCTCTGACTTGGGGCTGTGGGCGGTTCTACTCTGCAGCAGCTTCAGGAATGGGAGTTTCTCGGGGAGAAGTTCCCTCCTTCTGTGAGAAGTGTTTGCTGTGAGAGCTGCACGAGGTGGCTGTTTCTGTCCCTGCAGCCTTGGATGGCTGTGCTTGCCCTTCGCTATGGGGCTAGCGCATCGACTCCTCGCCCCCTTGGCTGAGCCTGATCTGTGGTGAGCGGCAATGAGAGGAATCCAGTGAGCTCCTATGCGACACTGAGTAGCCATTAGGTGGCAGTGACTATCTGTCACCAAGCTGAATGGCTACCAGAACAGAGAGGTGAAAAGCTTCACAGTCCATCCACAGTCCCTGAGCCGATCATGTGAGGTTGCCCTATTATGTGCTCCCCAGGATATCTCTTCATCTAAAAGGCATGGTCACGCTAATGCAGTCTAAAAAAGCTAGTGGCAGGGCCAGCTGGTGCTTTGATGACTCTACATTTGAGCACTGCTGTCTAGAAAACTTCCTGACAACACATAAAGCATGAAAGCTTTGCGTTGAAAACATATAACAAGCTGCAAAATAAATCTTCTAATTATAAGACACTTCCTTTTCCTCCTCCTTTCTAAAGTGGTATCAGCTGAACGTTATGGCCACAGTATCTCTAGGGTTTAATTTTGTAGCATTGGGACTGTCCACTCCTTGGGATGTGGGCCTGTGAAACAGGATATTCTTCAGTCCTGCAGTGATTTATTCAGAGAAGTGGGCCATCTCCATGTTTTTGGAGGAGGAGGAGGAAGAGAAGTGAGGGGAAATAGGTGTTCTCTTATTTAATTTGCATGTTTCTTCCTGGCCAGGCACCCTCATCTCTAATGAGCTCCAGACTCCAGGAGTATGTGTGTGAAGTGTCAAGCAAAGGGTTGTCCAAGTGGTCCTGCATCTGTCCAGCACTTCCCCGAGCAGCAGTGAAGCTCGGTGCCCTGGGAGCATTTAAGGTTCTCTCCTCCATATGGGGTAATCCCTTCTCACTGAGATTGCAGAAGACCTCTTGACTTGGTTTTCTTGCAGCTTTCGAAGGGTACATAATAGCTAGAGAACTGTGTGAGGAACATCTCAACCAGGTGCATTGAGAAAGCCACAAAGAAGCTCTTGAAGGATTTAGACTGCAAGGAACATGTACCATGAGGAGCACTATGCAAAGAGCAACTGGGAAGTAGAGAAGTAATCTTGTTTTATATAACATTTGGTCTACACCTTGAGTCACAACATGAAGTGAACGCTCAACAATGTGAAGTCAGAACCTTGGCAAGAAACAACATCTGCTCTGAAGAGCTGTTGAGTTTTATTTCTTTATGTAGGTTTTTCACCCTAGGTGAAGACTGCGCTAATAAATGGGCATACAGGATTTCTCAGGAGATTGAAAGCCTTAGAAAAGATGGAAGGAAATGGCAAAAAAGTGGCAATTGCTTAGGATGCTACTATAAGTAATTTAAGTCTGGTCCCATTGACTTTGAATCCCCATGTAGGGTTGTTATGTTAATGAAAGACTAAGTAGCCTTGACCTCCTGGCCAGTTTGTATAACTTGGTTATTAAAGGCTGCCTATAAAATCAATAGAGCTGACAGCTATCCAGTGCTTAACCTATTTTAAAAGTAGGAAGACAGCTGGCTTAAGAATTGCAATAATTTTATCTGAGACAGGGAAAAATATATACATAAAACATTCAGTTGGTGATAGAGACACGATAGTGCTTGCAAGGGTAAGCTGGGCCTCTCAGATGTTATGTGTAGGGTTTTTTTTGCCCTCGAGTCTCTGTCAAGATTCACATTGAATATGCTGTTCTCCTTCCAAAGGATATTTTAGTGAACTTGGAATAAAATTCCAGCCTCTGAAGGATGCGTGTTAGGAGCACAGAAATGTAGATACAGGGATGAAAAGGCTGGTGGTGCAGAGGAGGATATTTCACATATCAAGCCAGGCTGGAATTGTAAAGTAGGACTGAATACTATAGATTTGCTCTGCTAAACCAGTGACCTTATCACATTCTCCCTAAAGTGTATCTGATAAAAGAATGTGCTGGAGGGTAACACACAATTATCTTACCTGTCAAGCCAGTGTCTTCATTTAGGCTGTTAAGTCAGTATGAAAGGAGTTGCTGCAGTGGGCAATGTCTTACAAACACTCCTCTGAAGTTCTTGACAGGGCTGAAGGCTTCTTGGTGGATCCAGACAAGCCCTCATGCTTACATGGGACCCACCTAGTTTGCACACTTGAGGAGAAGGTGTCTTCTCCAAAGAGAACACTGATTTCCTTTTCCATCTTGAGATAGGCAGGGCTCTGCTAGGCTGGGGAAGCCTTCCTGAAGATTAGAAAAAAGGGACTTAGGTTTTCTGGGTTGGAGCAGCAGCTGATTTTGTTCAGGCACACAACAAAATGTATGTTTCAGTGCCAGGTTTTGTAGCTATCCCTTACTTTATTGACTAGGGAAAATGTTTGCAGGATCTGCCTAGGAATTATTGGCATTAGCCCATGTAAGTGTACATTTTTGTGCGTGAGGACTGGCACATCTGTCTCTTGCAGATGTTTGCCTAAGTATTCAGAATGGACTGATTCTGTTGAAAGAACCATGTCCAGAAAAGAATAAAAGGTTCAAAGATGGCTTCAGAGGAAGAGCGTGGCCTAGTTATGCATAATTTCAAAATAGTTTGAGATTTCTCTATTTTTTTTTGGAAAGTCCTGCCTTGGTGAGCGCAGATTCTGCTGATGGGGCAGCACGCAGAGCCACGTGCTGCTCCTTGCTCTGCAGCAGCATCATCTTGGCAGGTCTGACACCAGCAACAACTTGTTTTTGTCAGTGTGCTGAGCTGATGTGACTTGGACGGGACCCACAGGGAGCAGATAAACATAGTGACAAGGGTCATCTTTATACAGCCTCCACTCTGTTCCTAGCCCCCCGCCAACAATGCCTCAGCCTGTGAGGCTGCACGTACACACCTAGGCACGGCGCTTTATGAAGCCTTCTCTGCAAAGCCTGCATCCATTTACTGTCTTGCCAGCTTTGCTGAATTTACAGGTATCTTCACTAAAAAGGTCACTGGCAGAACTGGTTTCAAAAGAAACAGCTCCTGAAGTGACCTGCCTGCCCCTGCGGTTTCTGTTGGAAAATGGAATGGTTTTGGTGTGCCTTTCAACTCCCTAAGTGTGCAGCCTGTGCCTGCTTGTAGGGCTGCTCTGGTGAGTTGCTCGCTGTTGTTTTGTTTAGTGTATTTCTTTTCCTGAGGTATTAGCCACTGCTGTTTCCCCTGAACATGAGTAGGTTTTTGCAGGATTGCTGAAGGGCAGCATGTTTTGCTTTCTCATGTGTTTACTGTAGGGTTGCCAGGAGAGGGTGAGTAAGGGAGATAGATGCACTTCCCTCCCTGGGGCTCTTGAATTTGTGTTCACCATCAGGCAGCAGGGTGGGCAGAGCCCAGAGGAGCCGTTAAATCTCTTGTGCCCTGGTATTGCCTGCTGTGTCTCTCCTCTCCTGCTTCACGTCCATTTCTTAGCTTCTACTTCTCGCAGGAAGCCAAGGCTTTGCTGTGGCAGAGTCTGAGTTGAGAGTAATCAGTGCTGATATACGGAGTGGTGATCCTCCGCTGAGGAGCAGGTTATAATGAAACGTTGTCTCCTAAGCATGGGGAGTGAGAAATGGGTTGGTTAAGGATCTCCCCGTGCACAGGAGGGCTGCCTGCTGGAAACACGCTCTGCTGCCTGTGGGCCAGTGCTTGGGCTGCACGCGTGCTCCAGGCTGAGAGACATCTGCAACCTGAAGCACGGGAAGGGACCTGAGAGTTGTCCCAGCTCCTGTCTCCCACAGCAGCCAGGGCTGGATCCACCCTCAGCTTCCCTTAGCCTCTGTTGCCCTCAGAGACCCAGGCTGGCATTGAGTCTGTGCCAGGAGCAAAGGTGATGCTTGATTCTTTAAGCCTGCAGTTTCACTTCAGGGTAGCAAGAGCAGGATGGCTCAGGAGCAAGCACAGCTAAGCAGAAGCAGGGCCAGCTTCACGCAGGGCCCGTGGGGACTGTGGGTGAACTCAGCTCCAGGCAGGACAGTTTTCCCTCTTTGTGGCTCTGCACCCTGGCGTCGTGGGCAGCCAGCCAGCAGATTCCCCTTTCCCAGTCGCTCTCTGGAGTAGGATTTTCAGTGCTGGCAGAGCCTGGTTCCGTCCTGGAGAGAAGAGCCCCATGCTGCCTGTGCCTTAGTGCCTTCTTGGGGATCCCGCTCCAGAGCCGTTCGGATATCAGGTTCCCTGGCATGCCAAAGGCTGAGCTCACAGCCCAAGAAATTCTTCCACCTGTACACAGGCTAGAAACCTGTTATATTCCATATTAATATTGATGGCCTAAAGTAGGCTTGTTTCTTTTTATTTATTTATTCGTAGGTTATTAAATTTCAATAAAGCAATAGCAAAAAAGACTTTCTCTCCTTTTGTTTTTAGGCTTCTTTATTTAAGAAAATCATTGAAATTGTGAGACATACATGCAATTATTGAAAGCAGATTCTTTTATATATCTGAAAAAAGGTTCACTGCTTGTAATTGTTGGACATATGTTCAGTTAATTGAAGAAGAAGCAATGTATAGAAAAGACCAGTCCTCCCCAGCCCTTGTGCCGGTGGCAGATGCCACCCCTTCCACCTGCGTCGCTCGACAAATTTCATCTCAAGATGGGAAATGAATTCTCAATTGCAACATGCCTGGTAATTAACCGCACTGTAATTCCAATGTGCAGTGCTTGTCACCCACCATCAGGAGGGAGTGGAAAAGGCACTGCATTTTGTTGATGGTTGAACATTTGTTTTCCTCATCATTTTGACACCAGATGTAATTGCCATTCCTGAAATATTCTCTTGCTACCATTACAAAGCAACTGTTAGGGACAAATTAATTATGAAGACTCTTGTCATGACAGATTAATAAGCCAATGGAGGAGACTTTTTACCCTGCTTTCAGACAAATGAACAGTAAAAGCTAAGAGCTCCCAGATAACCGCTAGAAACTCATACTCCTCTGTAAGCCAACACATACTTTGGGGGAGGTGGTGGGCATTCACAAAACTGGAAATAGAGTAAGGAGAAAATTTCCAGACTTGCCTTTTTGTACATCAAGCTTTTTCTTTCCCAGTTTCATTTGCCAAGATGAGGTTGGGTCTGTGTACTGCCATATGGCAGGGAGGTCGTCAGGGCTCTGCAGCTCAAAGTCAGTACTGGACCATTGTCTTCTGTCTGGGTCGTGATTGAGCAAGGTCATGAAGATTTGGGAGTAAGGAATGCAGAACTTTGGATTTGATGGATTTTAGGAGAAGACATAAAGTTAGGATCTGGATTGCTTTATAGCCATTAAGGATACAGGGACATCAGATCCCATGTGCTGTTTGAGCTCCAAGGGTCTCTTGATGTCCTGCCTGCTCTGTCCCTCTGGAAGCTGCAGTTTCCACCCTTGTTATTTCTGTGGGTGCGTTCTAGGGGTGTTGCAAATGTGGCTCAAAGCCTTCCTCTGCTGGAGGTGTGGACGCACATTGGTAAAGTCCAGTTCTACTAAAGCCATAGAGAGCAGGAATTTGAAAGATCTGAATTGCTTATGATTTGTTTAGAAGCTTACCAACTTCTGCGCACAGTCGGGACTTGGCAACTGTCAAGCAGTCAGACGTATATAGAATCACAGAATGGTTAAGGTTGGAAAGGACCTTTGGAGATCATCTAGACCCTCCTGCACACACAGGGTCACCTACAGCATGTAGCATCCAAGCTGCATCCAAGCAGATTTTGAAGATCTTCAGAGAAGGAGACTCCACAGCCTCCCTGGGCAGCCTGTTCCAGGTCTCTGTTACCCTCACTGTTAAGAAATTTTTCCTTAAGTTCCTGTGGAACTTTTGGTGCTTCAATTTGTGGCTGTTTCCCCTAGTCCTGCATGTGGCCACATCCTCCTCACTCCCTCCCTTGAGGTATTTGTATACACCGATCAGGACCCCTCTCAGCCTTCTCTTCTTCAGGCCGAACAGGCCCAGTTTCAATCTGTATCTCACAGACTGACTTCTATGGGGTGCTAGGGAGTCTTAAGTGATGATGAGCACATGATTAAAAAGGACATATTGGCACCTCTCTAGATGGGACCAGCAGAATTGCCTCTTCTTTTTGTTGCCTGTGGCCACGTGCTGGTGTGCACAGTGCTCTGTCCCTGCCCTGCAGAGGACAGTAATGAAAGCCCAAAAAGCTCCTGCCATGGACCCCTTCCCGAGAGAGCTGTGAAGCTGCATTCCTTTCCAGAGATAAAACCAAGTCCTCATTTATCCCATTTTCCATCTTCCTCTGCCTTCTTCAGGCAAGTCCCTGTTTCACTGTGATTTCATTCCTTTTTGTGGGGTCTGTTTGGGATATATAAATACTTCCTTATTGAATATGTGAGGCAGGCCATAGGTGCTAGTTAGTATTACTTTCAGACTACTAGCGTCTTTGCTTCACACTCATCTGCTATACTGCAGATTCTCTGCAGTCCTCTCTGGCATGCAATCTTTGTCTTTGGGACTGTTCACAGTGTTGCATTTTACCAGCATGGTCTGATTCTTTGGAGGATCTTGGTCAGTTTTTCCCTGGGAGCATTATTTTTCTGTTGGCTTTTATACCGATTATCTTGGTGATGGGCTTTTCTCTTGGGCTTGCCATTTACCTTCTAGCCAACATTAGAAATCTACTATCTTTGATCTAGTGTGTTGATGAAGATCATCTCTTGCCTGTTGTCTTCATTGCAGTATCATCTTTGGTGTTTACATTTGCTATTTCTTTTCCAGCATTAGCTTCTCATACCAGATTCTCTCCATTTTGACAAGGAAACATTGACCTTTGCTCCTGTGAGAGTCAGACCAAAACCTCTGGATTCTCAGGTGGATTCTTTTTAAAATATTTTTAAAATATTTGTTGAAATGTGGGGGAGGGTGGAGGAAATGAGTTGGGATATTCTCCCACAGCCAGTGGAGCAGAAATCTGTTTAATAATCTCCCATGTTGAACTGCTGTTAAATACAGTATTTGCTAGTCCTTTGATGCTGGTTGGGATAGGTAAGCTGGAGATGAAGGCTTTCTGTACCTTTTCTTGCTGGCACTGTGCCTGACTTCCCGTGCAATGATAGTATTTCATGTCGTACCCTGTTCCTGGTAAGCGTAATAACAGCTGGCAATGAGTCTGCAGGTGGAAGGACATTCCATTTTCTTGAAATCAGAATGAGACAAGACACCCAGCAGCTTTACTGACTGTTTTACTCTAGTTTCTTATAATATGTTTGACATTTACAAATGCAGCACCCCTGCCTCGTGGATGCTCATTCATCTCTTAGATCAGTAGGAAAATGCAGCAACTGGCAATGGAAAGGGCAAATGTTGAATATGTAAGTGTATATACAGATGATCTCAATTTCATTCCCTTCACAGCCTGGGTGAGCCACAGCCAAGCGCAGGGGAAACGCATGCAATATAGTTCACTGGGAGACCATCTGTGATAAAGGCAATTACCTTTAGTAGTGCTGGGGGTAATTCCCTCTGCCTGTTGTGGGAGCAAAGTGATGTGCTCTGGACGGTGACTAATCAACATGCAGCCTCACCTGGGATGTCATTTTATTCATCTCAGCATGATGCCATATCAAATATTCTTACATTTTTCTTTTTTTTTTTTTTTAACTGCTATTTTTAGCTGGCAGCTTGAAAGCCGGCGTAGCTTCTCTGTGGTGCCTGTGTCCCCGCAGCCATAAAGGATCAGCAGACCCAGCGCCACCTTCAGTGGCACCCACACGAGCCCAGTGTCTCCAGATGCTGTTTCCAGTGACACCCACACAAACCCGCACAAAGAGGAGGGGCTGAGAAGAAGGGTCTGACCTTCTAATTGCAACTTAACAAGTGTATTGATTGTACATGAATCAGAAGAGACACCAGCGCAGTCTCCCATACCAGTGTCACTGCTGGGGGGCTGACAGACTCCGGCTTCCTTTCCGAGTGCTGAGCTGTGCAGCGCTAACCAGAGGAAAAAGCTGGAATAACTTATACAAATATTTTTTTTTCTCTAAAGTCAGCAGCTCTGGCTCTGATACCCAGAGGGGAACAGATCTGCTGAGTAACAAGGGGCCTCTTTTTTCTTTTTCTTTTTTTTTTTTTTTTTAGCATAGGCACTTTTAAAAGTAGAATTGCACTTTTCTAGTGACGATGATTTACTGGCACTGGTAACACTGCCACTGTCTTACTGTTGGACCTCACACTATGACAGTCACTGGAGTTTTGGGGAATGGACAGTATAATCCCATGGTTGCTAACTTTCCTGACTTCCTAGTCAGTCTTAATTTAATCAGTTCCAGGTTTTTCTTGTGTTTCTCTCTCTCTCCTCTCTCCAGGCACCCTGTTCCTATGGGAAAAGGGCTGCACTTCGAAGGTCAAGTTTCTCAGGTTAAAGAAGGAGAAAGGCATCTGCCTCTGTCAGTTTGGTGAGGATAATTTGGATGTTTTACTGAGATCTCCAGGGACATTGCAGTGGAGATGCTTCTTTCTGGGTGCTGGGACCATGCTGAATGGGGTCCATCTGCGTGGCTCTAGCAGAGGGGCCCTTTTACTCTGCTCTCCTGGCTGGAGTGACCTGCCAGGAGAGGAGTTACATATGTATGAGGGGGAGAAGCTGCTGTCGCAGGGCTTCATCTCCTGATGTTGACTCAGATGGGTCCTGACTGGAGGTCAGCTGTGACGTGCAGCTGGTAGGGTGGGATTCGACTGTTGGGAAGAGAGAAATGTCAGCTCAGATTCTTTGGCATCTACGAAGTGGATGTGACGATTTCTCCCCTGCAGCAGCAGCAGCAGCGCCTGCCGCTGCGCTCCCCTCTTCCCTGCACGCCCACGCAGGAGAGCAGACTGTGTGAAGCTATCCTGTCTTGACCCTCGCTGCTGAACTAGATGAAACTCAGCTGAGCTTTCTCTGTCTTTTCTTCTGTGCTTGGGACACCCATCCCCAAAACTTCCCCTCTTTATCAGTGTATCTTTCAGTGTTCCTGTGACCTCCATGGATCTTTCAGCTCAGTGTAGTGCAGAATGGGAAATGGACAGTAAGGCGAGTGGCTCCTACGTGTGCATCTTCATCTCTGCTGCTGAGCTCCTTCACATTGCTTTGAAGGACAGGACGTTCAGCACTGAACAGATTTCTGTGATATTAATTTCCTCTAATCTTCTTCTTCTTTTCTAACTCTGGTACCACCCTGTGCTTTCCTTTTCCCTTACAGTGTTCATTTTCATGGGTAGCTGGAAACTGTTACCAAATCATTTCCCTTGGCATCAACTGGTTTTATTTATTGAGGGTGAATCAAGAAACGGTTCCTCACTTTGTCCCATCCTGGTTTAGCCACCAGGCGGTGGCTCCTGATGTTTCCTCCCTTGCTTGTTTTGCCTCCTCTACTCCACCTGGGATTTAAGACAATTTTGAATGAAGGAAGCATCTCTAGAGCCCCCGGCTGGTGCGAAGCCTCCCCATACGTGGCCATAACTAGAAGCTTCAGTGGCAACCAGTTCCCACTGGGTGCTTGTTTGAGCTCTTCCTCGCACACTCCCTGTGGTCCTGGACGAGCCTTTCCCTGCAGCTGCCTTCCCAGGGTCTCCTTTCACGGGTGTAGCTGTGTGGGCAGTGTTTTCAGGTTATTTTTGCTGCATAAAATTACCTTTTGCTGTTAAGTCTTAATGGTTTCTGTGGAGTGTGGCAGAAGCTCCTGTTTTGGGAGCACCTCTGAGTGCAGGACATCTCAGCTGAACTTCCCTGCAGCCACTGAAGGCAGCAACAGCACAGAGCCCAACAGCACTGGTGGCTGGGACCCTCCGCTGTAGCTAGACACAAGACCATCCAAGATGGGGTCCTTGCAAAACCTCATCTTGTTTTCACTCCAATCCCTCATGGTCTGATCCGAGCTGAATTATAATTTATTAGCAAGATTTTGAGAGAAGCTGTGTCAAATTTATTATCGTTTCACCTGCCTTGTAACAGAAGCTGCAGGCACTATGATCAATGGATTGAGACACGTGTCTAATTTCGCTGCGGCTTCGGTAAACATCTGTGTCTTCTGCAGCTGTGCTGCTGAGTGGCTGCCTGTCCACCAGGATGCCCTGCAGTGAAATACTGCATGGCATCTTTGTCTCGGCTCTGCCAGGGCAACAGGGCACTGAGGGCAGTTTTGTGACCTGCCTGCTGCGCAAGTCATGGCATCCCAGCTCACTAGGTCTCTGTATTTCAGATATCACTAGATCTGGTCTTTCTGTCTCATGCAAATGTGATCTTCATAGAATCACAAAATGGTTGGGGTTGGAAGGCACCTCTAGAGATCATCTAGTCTGACCCCCCTGCTCCAGCAGGGACACCCAGAGCACGGGGCACAGGGCGGCATCCAGGTGGGTTTGAAGATCTCCAGAGAAGGAGACTCCGCAGCCTCTCTGGGCAGCCTGTGCCAGGGCTCTGTCACCCTCACAGCAAAGAAGTTCCTCCTCCTGCGCAGATGGAACTGCCTGTGTTTCAACTTGTACCCATTGCCCCTTGTCCTATCGCTGGCCTCCACTGAGGAGAGTTTGGCCCCTTCCTCCCTAGATTCATCCTTCAGGTATTTATACACATTGATCAGATCCCCTCTCAACCTTCTCTTCTCCAGGCTAAATGGACCCAACTCAGTCTTTCCTCATACAAGAGATGTTCCAGTCCCTTTGTCATCTTGGTTGCCCTCTTACCTCATCTTCATGCGGCAGCTCCATGGGTTACAAAACTGAACAAAACCATTGGGCTCTCAGTGGCTCCGACTTCTCTGCTTTTGCTTTTCCCTGGATTCCGTAGCCTTTTCCTCAGTCCCTGCGTGGCCCCAGCACGAGCGGCGTGTGTGCCCGTGAGGCAGGCGCGGGAGGCAGCTGGAGCAGAGCCCCTTGCAGGGCCCTGCCGCGCATCCTGACTCCGGCAGCTCCCCCGCGCGCCGCAGCCTGGCGGGCGCCTTGGCCGATGGCTCGCGGCTCCGGCCCGGCAAAGGATCAGGGAGCAGCAACGGGGCTGTCTCAGCACTGCAAGTACAGGAGATGTGGCTGCGACAGTGGCAGGAGGGAGCCGTGTGCGAGTCCCACTCCCCATGCGTCAGATGTAACGGGTCGGATTTAGCACGAGGAGTGGAAATTAGCCTTCGTTTTGCACTGTTTCCCTTCAAGATTCACATGGGCTCACTCAAGCTTTTGGCTGCAACTTTCCCAGACTGCCAAGAAGCATTAGCACGTGTTACTGTTTTAAATTGTGCTTCCTTTCTTACCTTCCAAAGCTTGACTTGAGTATTTGTCAGAAGACAATACCTGCCCTACTGGTACTTCAGTGTGCATTTATAGTAAATCATCAGATATCTCTAACTGTAAAGCAAGGGGTATTTGAAGTAGACAGTCAAAGAGGCTAGAAGCAAAAAATGTCTCCAGGATGATCCTGACAAGTAAGAAAAGGACTTTTATTGTTCACTTTTGCTTGAGTTTTTCCTTCAGATGTGTGTCAGGTAGGACAATCTAGTTAGGAGAGGAGAATCAGCAGATTTGATTTTTATTTCCAGTCTTGCCATTTCTGTGCCTGGAGGATCCAGGCAAATCCTTTCTCCCTTCTGCAGTTCTTTTCCCTGGTCTAAAGAAAACAAGGAGAGTTTTCCTTTGTGAAGTTCTTTCATAACTGCACATGAAACTTGCTGTAGAAGTACTAAATAATCTTATTAAATAATCTTGTGGCATGGTACTGAGTGCCTGTACCTACCTACTGAAAATAAGGTAGCATCTCACACTGTAATGCTCTGCTAGTTAGGTGGCTGAGACTAGAAGAGACCCCACTTAAGGAGCTGAAGATCTTATTTCTTATAGGAAAGGTC